CCCTTGTACCCACGGATCGTCCACGGAACCCCCAGATCTGGAGAATCAACAACACATTTTAAAGCTGACCTCATCAGTTACTTGACGGCTTACAATGCTCCGTCTCTCAAGGAGTGGATAGACACCATCCACGAGCACGACCTCTCTGAAACAAAGTATGTGATGCCTTACCGACTCCGGGCGCTTGGGATGGTTGCATGCCTTGAAGGTGACATGAGGTCAGGAATGTGGGGGCCTTGGAAGGAGGTGGGGTGAGACTCGGCTGTGCTTCCTGGTGCATTGAGAGGATGAGAGCAGATTTTGTGGGTAACTGCATCCATGGTTCTCAGGCATTGAATTGGTGGCCCTGAATCTTCCTGCTTACCTGAAGCCTCCACTGGGGGACTTTTCAAATTCACGCGTTCTTTGCCTGGTACCTTACACCTTATAAGCATCCCACTATTAGTTGGTTTGCTTGAAAATAACATTATCAGTTACTACTGTGGAGAAAGCATCAGAAGGGAATGGGTTGGCTCTTAAAACATTTCATGATAAGAGACTCTTCAAAATATTCATGGGGTGTGCTTATAGAAAAATACATGTGCATTTCAAAAATTTCGCACCAAAATAAACTTGTACTATAATTCCAATTTTCCACAAAGTTTTTGAAGTTCCCGCCTAATAGTTTCCATGTGGTTTTGTTTTTTTTTTTTGGTTCCCAAAGCATTACCACTCTGTTCTATAATGTGTATTTTATATTCTTTTAGTGTTTACCTTATTGGTTCAACTCCAGGACGCTTTCAAGGAAGCCAGAAAGATAACTGGGGACATTTCAGGCTCAGGAAGGTAATAAAACATCTACTGTTCTAACATTTCTTACATGTTTACGTATTTTCTCTCTGCTTTTTCATTTATATTTGTGTGTTGTGATCCCAGCTTCACAATATTTCCAGCACGAGCCTGGCAACAAATAGGCATTTGATACATTGATGGTCTAGTTATAGTTTTCAGTACTTTCTTTTTAAGGTATCTTTTTTTTTTTTTTTTGCCTTTTTTTTTTTTTTAAACAAGGTCTTGCTTTGTCCTGAGACTCCTGCCTCAGCCTTCTGGATAGCTGGGACTACAGACACATGCCACAGAGCCAGTTTTTAGGGTGAGCCAGGGATCAAACCTAGGTCTCCCATGTGGCCTCAGCCTGCCAAGTAGCAACCAGCACTACCGCAGCTGGGCCTTATTTTGCCTCTCTCTGTGTGTGTGTGTGTGTGTGTGTGTGTGTAAGGGTAGAGTGTGGAGGACACAGGCTGTGTGTGATGGCCAGGGAAGGGAAGGAAAAGGAAAGTACCTCTCCCAGTGGGGTCTGGTTATTCCATAATCATTTCTTTCCCTCCATCTCTCCATCCACTCAGGGTCCTAGGCACGCACACGTTGCCCAGCATGTTTACCAAGCCACCAGGGTCTGCCGTTAAACTGCGGTCGGCCATGTGGGATCCACTCCCACTGCACCCCCTTAACTCTGCTCGAGGGTCAGCCCTTTTACCTCTCTTACAGACATAGAGTAGACTGTGTTACGTGGCTTAAGGATGTGGGCTTATCTTAGTTTTTGTATTTCTCATAATAAAGATAGACGGTTCCCATTCATACAAGTATGAATAGCTTTTTTTTTTTTATTAAGAGATTTTTGCTATGGGACATGTTTGCTTGCTGGAGAGACAGAAAGAGACACAGAGACAAAGCAAGAAATCACCCCCTAGGGGGATGACCACACCGCAATCCCCTCTCCTCCATTCTCCTCTTTGGGATTTCAGGCATGTATGCACATGCATCCAAGCTGCCGGGTCTAGGACTTGAACCATGGTCAACCACATGGGAGTCCAGCGCCTTAACCGCTACGCCTCCTGCTGGTCCCATTGAAGGATGTTAACTTATAAACTCAGCAAAAAAGGTAGTATTTACTAAGCCTGTTCCCTAAAGATAGCTATAATTCCAAAAAGGATATTTGGTGTTGATATAAAAACATAAGGGAAAGCCTTTCACAGAATAAAACAACCTAGTTGAAGATTAAAGTTTTTCTCTCTCTTTATCCAGTTTACCAACCTTAATCATTTCTGTTAAGTGGCTTTCTTAAAAGCCTTACCTCTTATTCTGTGAATTATTATTGCCTTGGTTAGTAAAATTTTCCTTTGCATTTCTTCCTTTGAAATAAGAACACCACGAATGGTCACAGTCTTACTGAAAGTTAAATAGCTTGTTAAAGGCTTTCAAACCTTTCACACACAGTAGCTCCTGTGGCACCGCTCCCTCCCAGGGAAGGCAGGCAGAGACCAGGGGCCTGCAACACCGAAGTAAAGTCCCAACCCAGGGGCTTGTCCAGGGTCCTGCAGTGACCAGGGGCTCAGTGCCACAGGAGGAACTAGGTCTGGTAGTTGTCAGTTCAAGTCTGTCACCTACACCATGGAAGTCGAGAACCTGGGACTTTTTGGTAAATCTGTGTATAAATGTTATTGCCTAAACTGTGTTAAGAAAAGTATTACATATTAAATTAGACAACATATTAGTCAGAAAATACACTCCACTGGGGCAGAATTTTCTTTTGCTTAATTTTCTTGCCATCTCCAGCCCTCTAGGTAGGCAACTCAACTCTTGTCTCAGTGGATAAAGCTTCCTAGTATTTTCAGAATTGTTTCTGCATCTTTGCATAAGTATCAAAGCAGGGGATGCAGATCAATCTTCTTCAGAGCTTCACGTGGTAAAGCTATATTCTGGTTTATTTTTAAACCATCACAGCTATCTGGAGCTCAAGTTGTTACACTCAGACTGTTTGCTTTCAAATGATAGAAGCCACACTTCTATCTAGGTATTATTTAGGCATATTGAGCAACTATGATTTGAAGGCATAAATGAAATTTCATTTCACAGGTTGGTGGTTTATCCAATGTTTCTACTAAAATGGGTCTCTTTTTTTTTTTTTTTTTTTTTTTTGGGGAAGTTTTTTCTTATG